TCTGAAGCTCCGTCCTTAAGGGGTTACTAAAGAGCGATACATGTAATGAATTGTACCTTGCATCTGACAAAATGTTACATAGATCTCTACTTCTTAATATTCTATTTATGTCTCTTGCTACACTTTTTTTTTTCCTTTTCACATCTTTATCTTTTCCATTTCTTTATACCAGTTTCTAAACAACTTTTTTTTTTAAATTTATTTCGATATAACATATGTAAAAACCCCTCCCCCCCCCAAAAAAAAGAAAACACAAATCTAAACATTTCATTGACAACCATGAACATGAGGAATCCATACTTTTGTAGTTAAACAACATTGATTGGGTATCTATTCATGGCAAATCTTTAAAAATATTAAATGAAAAGAGACAAATTCTTATTTAACAATTGGAAAACCACTGTAGAGAAAAATAAACATTTTTCTTTCGGAACTAGGCAACATAAACCTCTTGTTTTGTTTATATATATATCATGGGTACCTATCTGTCTTGCAAAATAACATGTTATGTCTAGAGTCCAATATCTGTTGCCACCTCCTGATTGCAACAACCTTGCTGAGCTCATGTTGCACATCTTTGGAAGAAATCATTTGGCCCGAGTGTTCGAGTGGTTTTGTTAAATCCATATTGTGATTGATTGAGTACCAGATTAGCTGTAACTAGAAACTTCAAAATATACGTGCTTGTCATGCTCTATTTCTATTTTGATGTGGATGCCAGTGCACTGTAGTTTAAAGTATCCAAACTCACTTCAGTGGCAATATGCTATTTGGGAAAGGCTTCCTTAACTTTCTATTAAGTTCTTAGAGAATCTTAGTATGAGTATTGGGCTGATTTTTTTGTGAATGGTCACAGGGATAAAAATAAACAGAACATCATATCCAAACATGGTCTTTCATTAAAAATTGCAATGTGTTATTTGTTCAAATTGAACAGCAGGTAACATAAGCTCTACATATTTGGAAGTCCAGTCCAACTACCATGACCTTGCCCCTCATTCCAGGGCCCTATTTAACCTTGCACTGCAGAGAGCCCCAGGAAGATGGATTTCCTAAGGAACTAGGTTAATCTCATACGAGAAGGCATTAGGTTGTTAGAATAGGACCTGGCAAAAATTGGATACATTGAAATTGTAGCAGGCCTTTGCAAAGTATGCTCATATACTGTAAATAAACCCCCATCATTTTTGCCTGTCTGGTGTTTTAAAAAACAAACAAACATTAAATGTTGTGTATTTAGAAATTTTGTGAGTGAGTGCGCTGAATATTGTATGTTAAATAAGCTCTGGCATGGCGGAAATTTCTGGTTTTATGCTGTTCAGTTTAATCCAGCCAGGACAGCATCAAATAATCATGTGAAGTCAGATCACTTCATATCACATCAAATATTTTCAAACACAATCAGCTGTACAAAACCCAAATTTTTACTGGGTCAGAAGGCACTTATCATGTTTTAATGACTATCCTACAATGTCCATAGTTAGAGATGAGCAGTTCGGGTTCGTACCGAACATTACAATTTTTTGACCCCGAACCCGAGCCCGGACATTTCAATAACAGTTCGGGTTCGAGTTTGGTGTTCGGCGATTTAATGGTGCATTTTGATAAGCTGCAGGGCAGCCAATCAACAAGCGTTTGACTTGTGTGCCCTTAGAAGCCATCACAGCCATGCCAACTAATGGCATGGCTGTGATTGGCCAGTGCAGCATGTGACCCAGCCTCTATATAAGCTGGAGTCACATGAACTCTTATTAGTGTAGGGAGAGGATGCTGCAGCTGTGAGGGACAGATTAGGAAAGAATTCTGGTGTTGAATCTGCAAACTACAGCGATTATTTTTGTGGGTGCTATACTACATTTTTGTACCCTGCCCTGAGCCCAGTGCCACAGAGAAATAAGTAATCAGTCTGTTTGTTAGGTGGGCACTTGCAACTGCATGTGTGCCAGGCACATTACTTTAATCCTGTTCTGGTAGCTCAGTGGGCAACATCTAGGCATTTTTAAATACTGCTGTGACATTGCAGTTTGACAAATTCACATTTTTTTTGGTGTTAAAAAGTACATTTGAGTCAAATAGAACCATGAAATACTGTGGTTACATCGCAGTTGGACCAATTCAAATGTTGTGGGTGCTAAAAAGTATATTTGTGGCGTGCACTTTATGTCTGAGAGTCAAATAGAACTGTCAAATACTATGGTTACATTGCACTTTTAAAAATTACAAATTTTTTGGTTCTAAAAAGTAAATTTGGGGCGTGCACTTCATATCTGAGAGTCAAATAGAACCGTCAAATACTGTGGTTACATCGCACTTTGAAAAATTCGTATTTCTTTGGTGCTAAAAAGTATATTTGTGGCATGCACTTCATATCTGAGAGTCAAATAGAACCGTCAAATACTGTGATTACATCACAGTTTGACCAATTCAATTTTTTTGGTGCTAAAAAGTACATTTGTGGCGTGCACTTCATATTTGAGAGTTAAATAGAACCGTCAAATACTGTGGTTACATCGCACTTTGAAAAATTCACATTTCTTTGGTGCTAAAAAGTAAATTTGGGGCGTGCACTTCATATCTGAGAGTCAAATAGAACTCAAATACTGTGGTTACATCGCAGTTTGAACAATTCAAATTTTTTGGTGCTAAAAAGTACATTTGTGGCGTGCACTTCATATCTGAGAGTCAAATAGAACCATTAAATACTGTGGTTACATTGCACTTTGAAAAATTCTAATTTATACTATCTTTAAGTTTGGTGGGTGAATGCAAAGAATGAGGAGAGCATCAAATAAGGGATGTGGCCCTGGTCGTGGTGCTGCTGGTGTTGGTGGAGATCCTGTTGCAGGGAGAGGACATGGTCGATCTGTGCCAGCTACATGCACAAGTGAAACACCTTCATTAAGTGCGACTAGGCGACAGAACCTTCAGCGTTATTTGGTAGGCCCGAATGCCGCTCTACGAATGGTGAGGCCAGAACAAGTACAGGCGATAGTAGATTGGATGGCTGACAGTGCCTCCAGTTCCTTCACATTGTCTCCCACCCGGTCCCCTGCTGAAAACTCAGAGTTGGCACCTGCAGCCCATCAGCCAAGCAGTCTGAGCCACAAGTCATGCAGCAGTCTCTTATGCTTTTTGATGACTCTGCTAGCGGGGTTTCCGTGGGCCATCCACCTAGTCCTGCATCAGAAGTGGAAGAGATTGAGTGCACTGATGCACAACCACTTATGTTTCAGGATGTGGACATGCGAGGACCACCGCAGCACGTCTCTGGTGATGACGAAACACAGGTGCCAACTGCTGTGGCTTTCTGCAGTGTGCAGACTGGCAAGGAGGGCAGGGTTGAGGAGTGGGTGGAAGATGATATGGAGGATGATGAGGTTCTAGACCCCACATGGAATCAAGGTCATGCGAGTGACGTGTTTGGTGGAAGAGGCGGTGGTCGCACAGAGGGAGCAGGGTGCAAAAGCGGAGCGGCCGTCCCCTAGACAGTAAGCCTGCTACTGCCCACCACACCCAGGGACCGAGCACACCAAAGCCAGCTCCAAGGAGTTACCTGGTGTGGCAGTTCTTCAGGCAATGTGCTGACGACAAGACACGAGTGGTTTGCACGCTGTGCAATCAGAGCCTGAAGCGAGGCATAAACGTTCTAAATCTGAGCACAACCTGCATGACCAGGCATCTACATGCAAAGCACGAGCTGAGGTGGAGTAAGCACCTCAAAAACCAAGAAAGGTCTCAGGCTCCTCCTGCTTCTTCTTCTGCTGCTGTCTCGGCCTCTTCCTCCACCTCTGGAGTGACAGTGGCACCTGCCACACCGCAAACAGAGGATGTGGCACAATGCCACCACGTCCGCCACCGTCCCCAAGCATCTCCCCACTGTCCCATGGAAGCGTTCAGCTGTCCATCTCCCAAACACTGGAGAGAAAGAGGAAGTACCCCCCTACCCACCTGCGATCCCTGGCCCTGAATGCCAGCACTTCAAAATTCCTGGTCTTTGAAATGCTATCATTCAATCTGGTGGAGACGGACAGTTTTAAAAACCTGATGGCAGTGGCTGTCCCACAGTACGTGGTTCCCAGCCGCCACTACTTTTCCAAGCGAGCCATCCCTTCGCTGAACAAGCAATTGGCGGACAAAATCAGGTGTGCACTGCGCAACACCATCTGTGGCAAGGTCCACATAACCACTGATACGTGGACCAGTAAGCATGGGCAGGGACGCTATGTCTCCCTAACTGCACACTGGGCAAATGTAGTGGCGGCTGGGCCTGAGGCGGATAGCAGTTTGGCGCATGTCCTTCTACCACCGAGGATTGCAGGGCATTTCTCTTTGCCTCCTTTTACCTCCTTCTCCGCTTCCTCCTCCACTTCCTCCTCCTCTACCACCTCCTCATCCAGTCAACGTAACACCTTCACCACCAACTTCAGCACAGCCAGGGGGAAACGACAGCAGGCTGTTTTAAAACACATATGTTTGGGGGGAAAAAACACCACACCGCACAGGAGCTGTGGACAGGCATGGAACAACAGTCCGATGAGTGGTTGTTGCCACTGAGCCTCAAGCCCGGCCTGGTGGTGTGCGATAATAGGTGAAATCTCGTAGCAGCTCTGGGCCTAGCCTGGCGCATGTTTTGAAATTGGTGGTGCAGAAATTCCTGAAAAACTACCCAGATATATCATAGCTTCTGCAGAAAGTGCGGGACGTCTGTGCGTGCTTTCGGTGTTCTCACCCTAATGCTGCTCGCCTGTCTGCACTGCAGCGTAACTTCAGCCTTCCCGCTCACCGCCTCATATGCGACATGCCCACAAGGTGGAACTCCACCTTGCACATGCTGGAGAGACTGTGTGAGCAGCAGCAGGCAATAGTGGAGTTTGAGCTGCAGCATGCACGGGTGAGTCGCTCTGCACCAGAATTGCCCTCCAATAGATCTTAGTTAAATGATTTAAAGTGTACTCATTCCAATTACAGGGCCTCAAAAGAGTCCTGTATTGTTATTTTTCGTCACTGCCTCCCCGCGTCAGGAGTGGGTAATTATGGGCGCCTGCTGCCTTCCTTGGATGCAGTAGCCGTTTCTCAGGCTCCATCTCTGGAATTGAACCCTGATTCCCCGTTACCCGTGGTCACCGTAGTAGGCGCAGAAAGTAACATCGAAAGTTGATAGGGCAGACATCCGAATGCATCATCGCCATCACGGGGACGTGCAGTTGGCCCAAGGTTATCTAGAGTCACCAAAGTTCCTGCGCAACGACTGCCGAGTTGCCCACATTCTAACTTGTGCTGATTACTGGGTGGCCACCCTGCTGGATCCCCGTTACAAGGACAACGTGCCATCCTTAATTCCCTCACTGGAGTATGATCGGAAGATGCGTGACTACAAGAACACACGTAGACGCGCTTCTGAGGGCATTCCCAACTGACACTGGGGGCTCAGTGGAAGCACAAGGCGAAGGTAGAGGAGGTCGCCAACGCAGCTGGGGCACCGCCAGCACCTCAGAAGGCAGGGTTAGCATGGCCGACATGTGGAAATACTGGAAAAGCTTTGTCAGCATGCCACAACAACCAGCACCACCAGCTGATATGGAATGTCTTAGCAGGAGGCAGCATTTCAGCAACATGGTGGAACAGTACGTGTGCACACTCCTACACGTACTGACTGATGGGTCTGCCCCATTCAACTTCTGGGTCTCCAAATTGGGCACATGGCCTGAGCTTGCCCTTTATGCCTTGGAGGTGCTGGCCTGCCCTGTAGCCAGTGTATTATCTGAACGTGTGTTTAGCACGGCAGGGGGCGTTATCACAGACAAGCACAGCCGCCTGTCCACAGCCAACGTGGACAAGCTCACGTTTATTAAAATGAACCAGGCATGGATCCCACCAGACTTGTCTGTACCTTGTGCAGAATAGACATTTATACCGGCCTCACCCAGCCATTGTTATACTCAAGTGCACTTATTCTTTGTTTTCTTTTTTATATGTCCCAATATTTTGGGGGCTACCCCAATTGTTTGCAGGGCACTTGTCCTACTCTTACCCTCATTTTACTTCCTTTTGCATTCCTCTAGCCCTTTCCAGGACTTTTTTAGAGCCATTTTAGTGCCCAAATGTTCGGATCCCCATTGACTTCAATGGGGTTCGGGGTCAAGTTCTGGTCAAGTTCGAGTACGAACTCGAACTTTTTGCCGAAGTTCGGCCGAACCCAGCGAACCTGAACATCCAGGTGTCCGTTCATCTCTATCCATAGTAATTGCCAAACAATTCCCCTTTGTTGATGCTCTGGTACTTCCTCCTTTTATATTAAACAATGTTGCTTGCACTGCTACTCTTCTGTCTCATCTTGTCATGCTGTGCCGGTGTAACCTGAATGTCCCAATATTGGAGGCACCCAACTAACCGTTGCAAGTGAAAGTCAATTTACCATTGCCTTCTCTTTCTCTGCATTGCAAAGCCAGCCACTGAAAATACTACCCAACTGTGAAAGCCAAGGGATATCAATCTGGGCAGATTTATAAGCTTTACATATTAAAGATGACTGAATAGAAAACACAAAAATTAAGCCAGTATGGTTAACATTACAATGGAAGATGAGAAACTGCAAATGTTGCCACCACTAGAGTTAATCACCTTTAAAGCACACACCCATGGCATGTTTTTAATATATGGTGGTAGTACGTCTTATAAACACCATCATTGTTACAGATCACTACCTGAAAAAAAGATACAAAATATCCACCTAACATTATGTGATAAGAGACCCTAATTAATTAAATTGGTAAGCGATAAGAGACCCCAACCATTTAGACCGTTAAGTGATAAGAGACATCAATTAGATTGCTAATGAAGTTTAACCCAACATGTTCTACGTACCTAACGCAATGCAAAACTATGAGATAATGAATTTACTCTCTGTTTTTATATTAAATATATAGTGTACGTTATTAAGGTCTATTGGCATGACCAGAATGTTGCATTGGTGTTTTTTTTTGTTTTTTTTAGTATAATCCAACACATTTTGATATTGTAACCTGTGACTAAGCTATTATCATTTATTGTTTGGATAAATATAAGTTCGACTGTGAAGGGCTTTGGTTTGAGTATTGCATTTCCATCTTTGATTATGCAAACATATACACATATATATTTCTTGAACGTATACGGTAGCTCTTGCATAGACTGTTTGCATTTCTGAAATGTCAGTTATTATAGCTTATTAAAGATTAAGAAGTGCCACATTTTCAATACATGATACGTGATCCACGTCTAGAAACAGCAGAGGGTGCATGTTTATATAATCAGTTCTTTCAGTTCTGTATAAATCTGTATAATACAAGCTTCAGCAGGGAGACAGGTGGTGTATGAATATATATTTTCATGACCATTGGCTGTAGCATGTGAAATCTGCACTTTTCATATTCTGCATTTTTGAGGGATTAAAGTGATTATCAAAAGCAGTTTTAGTAGGAGCACGGCTTCTACGTGCTTTTACCAGGAGTGTATCACAGATGATTAACGTCCTTGTCTGTGTTTTCAGTAGCTGTAATCCTTTAGAAAATCAACAGAAATTACACAGGTTGAAGAGATTTGCAGGTTTCTGTTAGCTTATTGATATAATTTTTTTTATACATTCTATAGCTTGAATCAGATTGCAGTGTTGTAATGGGTTACAAATAGTTCAGGGGGTCAAGGTTAAGGTGGTATAGGTGATGTAGCCTATGATGTGGGGTGGGAGGGGTCATTGAGAGGGAGGTACAGTTAGGGTTTCTCTGCTGTTTTAAACTGCCACCCTTCCTTACTCTGTGTCTGAGCTTTCTGCTGATTTTAATGATCAGCTCCTTCATTAGTGTTCCCACAGTTACTCCCCTGATTGTTAGTAACCAGCCCTGCTGCTAATCAGTGCAGCCTATTTAAGCAACAAGTCCCAGTACCTCCTTGCCCTTGCATGGTTTCCTGTTTCCCAGAAGACTTCCTGTCACGATTCGGGGAACCCAACACGCTGGCACACACACACACACACACACACAGAAAAGGTGCCGTACCGGACCTTAGAGTGGCCGGGCTAAGCACGCTAAGAATAGTCAGGAGACAAGCCAAGTAAAGGGAGCCAGAAAACGGGAGAACGAGAAACAAGCCGAGGTCAAAGGAGTGGAGAAGACAGGATAATCGGAATAACGAGCCAAATAATCAGTAACCAGAGAGCAAGACGAGAACACTACGCTACAGGTATCACAAGACCACAACAGGGCACTGAGGGACAGGAATGGTAAGTATAAATACCCTTGGTTTAATTCTGATTGGATAACTTCCAATCAGAATTAACAATCACACGTGGGGGATATCTATACCTCCCACTGTGATTGTGGTACTGTTTCTTTAACGCCGGGTCACTCACGTGACCCCGGCGTTTACATAATTCATTGACCTCCCAGCGTGCAGCGTTATACATGCTGCCGCTGGGGGGCGTGGAGGACGCGGGCGGCGAGCGGCAGAGAGGAGACGCCGGTCCCTGACACTTCCTGTTTCCTGTGTAATCCTGATTCCTGACTTCTGGCCTTGTTCCTGACTCCGCTGCTCTCCGTTCTCCTGATTCCGGCTCATCTGACTACCCGTTTTGGCGAATTGTGTAGGGAGAGGAGAGGGAATAGAAGGGCAAGGATGCAGACGAGAGGGTTTGAGTGGAGAATTGTCAGTGGGTGGAAAAGAAAGTGCACATTTCAAGCCAGATGGAGGTGGCTTCATCATGTCAGCACAATTAGTGGCTGGAGTTCACAAGGAGAGTTGGAAAACCAAGGAAAGAGAGATAAGAGGACAACCCAAGGTAGTGCACGGAATAGCAGGGATGGTTGGAGAGTCTCCCACTGATGGTGAGAGATTAGGAGGGAATTCAGAGGTTGCAGTGTAAAGCCAGGAGGAGAGAAAAGATGTAGATCACAAGAGTATGGGCAAGAATTCAATTGAGGCTTCACATGTGTGGCCCAAGCCTAAAGAGAAGAGGTATATTTATGGGAAGAATGCATTTGTTAATGAACGGACAGGAGAATATATATATATATATATATATATATATATATCTTTGATATCACTTGTTGGAGGAAATCAGCCAAGCTGTGCATGAATTGCAAAGAAACACTCCATCCATAGCATTAAACAACAACAGCAGGAAGGAGATTGAGGTAAACATAAGTAAGGAGGCATTCTGTGCAAGTGGAATACATGGAAAACCAAGGAAACTAGTACACTAACAGAAGGGCCTCCTTAAAAGTATCATTTAATCAAAGGTCATCAGTATAGATGTGGAGGCCATTGCCACAGCTTTCGAGACTCTTAAGGCCCTTTCGAGCAAGTAAGAATAGTAGAACTGAAAGTGTATGAGTGAACTGTATATAACACAATCTAACAAGCATAATTGTTAATGCACAACTCATATAGCTGGTAACTATGCATCTAAAACCTTTTATTGCACAGAAAACCTTGTATAAAAGTTGTCACCGCTGCAAAACTGTGCTGTTAAACCTTATTTTTGTGCAAAATTAATATGGGACCTGTTTAAAGCTGCCTATACAAATCAGTTACCTCACTGATGTATTTGCGCATGGTCATTAAATTATTCTGGTATCACTGGTGGTTTTGCAAATCCATGCTGAACTCATAGTGAATAATATGATAGTTCCAACTCGTGTCACAAAATATTATCTCTCAACTTCTGGAGTTGCTGAAATGCTCCCAGCATTTCATAAATTCTGGAAACTGAAAACTGACCTATTTACAAATGCATTCATTGACAGTCCAAGTTAAGTCTCCTTTGTGACCACATTTGACTTTCTTTGTACTAGTTTCACTAATTTCAGTTCATCTGACCAATATTTTTATATTCATCCCTTCCTCCACACCTGTACACCCATTGTCCTGACTTCAACTTGTATTTCCCCAGATGCTGATATTAATCTAATCGCATTCCCCTGACTCTAATGTTTAATGTCCTCATTGATGATTTTTTTTAACCTCTGTAAAGCACCCTAGAAAAATTTAAAACAAATGATTGCCTTGTAAATTGAATCTAATGGAGTGAAATGTCTGGGCATGATATATGATTTTTATTATCATTTCCTTGTACAGGCTGAAATATCGATGATTAACTTCAATAGGACTGAAACTTAAATGAACAACTTTACTGTTTCACTTAATTGCCGTTTAAAAAGAAAAACAAATACTGTAGCTTATATTATGTTGGACACACAAAGTGTTATTTAATTTAATTTATATTTAATGTTTTAAAATTATATGTTTTGTTAATGTTTCAAATGGAT